ATTCGCAGCGCTACTGTGCCGTATTCTCTCATTTCTTTGGCTATCTGAGCAGCCTTCCCAGCCTCGTACATTGTACGGACATTTCACATCCCCATTCTTATTCTCACTTTCATCGAGAGAAGAAACACAGGTCGACTGACTGGCTTCCCGAATACTTTCACCAGGTAACGTCATTTCGCCTCTCCGATTCCAGTGAAAAATAAGTTTGTTTTTAAATATTTGTACTTTTAGTATATTTCTTCTGGGTTGAAGTTTCTATAGCAGTTTGATTGGATTTGTGGTGTAGGATCGCTAGCCCATCGCTCAACCCTCTCCCCCTCTTGACCGGTCTTGGAACTGGCTAGAAAATCTCCCTCCACCGGTATTTCTTATGTCTGTTCCGACTTAATCTTATTTCAGTAATCATCTTAATGTTCAAGCAGCCTTCATATTGTCTTTTCTACTTAGGAATGTATGTCCTTATGAGAAGATGGAAGAAGATAGTGGAGAACATGTGAAACCGCCTGAACTTTTTAGGTTAATGCAACACTATCACGCCAAAGCACTCTGTATCAACAAGTGAGAGTAATAAACTGTTGAAATGTTGTTTTTACTTGTACGCAATCCCATTTAGACAAAGTCTACGCGTCATAGGTATAAGGTTCCTTTAGTTTTGTGGGCGCATTTAAGAAAACTAACAGAGTTTATCTCAGCTACTTCGCGTAATTAGTTCATGTTAAAGAACACTTACATTCGTAGGACCTTTATCATAAGGATGTCTCGAATGAGGTACATATGGCTAATATTCGTACTGATTACATAAAAGTTTTCCATTTTTGCAACAGACATGGAACGCAAAATGACTGAGTTTGCAGTGTTTACTATGATACAAAACAGGATCATAGATACAAGAATATAGAAATAAAAATGCAGTACAAAAGTTTATTACGAAATAAAGTAGTGAAAAACGACGTTTTTGAAAATCTATACAAATCACCATATTAAGAAGTAGTCAGTGTCATTTGTAGGCGTAATCAGATCTTCTTACGATTGATTTCATCCATCATTTGCTCGCAGGATGTGATTGTTATGTTCCAATCGGTTGATTATGGTGCTGCACTTCACTAGAAATGGAGACGGCTAGGCTATGGACGTTGTGCTTGAATTGTAATCCCTGCTCCACCCGCCTAACCATATCGGAATTCCTGAGGTAATCATTATTCAGAGAATTCCAACTCACCCTCTACTGAATTCACAAGTGACAAATATGTCACTGAATGTTTTTAACATGTAACAATCAAACTGGAATGCGTACGATGTTCCATCACATTTACACTGTGTAAGTTTCTGTCTTCAATACAGAAGTGAACACTATTGAGGAAATTGCTTCGATGCAATAACGACTTGTTAAGTTATCCATATGCTTTTCATGCTTCTTTCAGTCCACCCTACTGACCCACAGCTACTTCTCTCCTACAGCAAATTAGAATTTGTGTTTCCGATTCAGGAGTTCCCTTAGTTGCTTATGTGAGCCTTCCACACTGTTGTTCATATGATCGACAGAGGATTTTGTTGGGCCCAGGAAAGAAGATGTCCGTATATGCTTTCTCAACATCCCACAATCAGATAAGTGCTCATACATTCAATGACGGCAATTCCAATGGTAACAAAAGCTGCACAAACAGCAAGTAGAACTTACGTATCCATTCTGTGAATACTCTTTTCACTATATTTATCTACGACGAGGAGCAATCCATAGTCAATGTTTTGGTTCTACTGGTATCCCTGATGAGTGCCTTGAATTGTCTTTATCTATAGATTCCATCTTTAGTACTTGTTATTAAGTAGAAGTAAACATAAGTCTATTTATACCCGAGATATCATCGGTTTCCCATAGCAACTACTTGAAATATTTGCTGTATCAGATGGCATCCCATTGAGTTCATTATACTCACCCACTGTCATTGGTTGTATACATGGAACTCATTGTGATTCCCATAATTAAGTACCCTCCAATAGGGAGGGTATCTTGGGGAGATTTATGCAAAAAATAAATGTAAACATTTGGGGGAAATACAACAATTTCCACCTAAAGCTTCTAAGTTTCCCCCCCCCTCCCACCATATTTCACCTAAATTTCCCACAAAAGCCTTATGCTTAATAGCAACTTAAGACTGTCAACGAAATCATCCTTCAAAAAGCAACAAATAATGACTGCAATGATATATTATATGCATAATTTTAATATATATTAACATATGTATATAATTGGAAGTAATATCTTCGAAACACTATTCTTCCCTCCAAATTCACTTATCTGGTAGGCTTTCTGCATCCATCTCAACAGTGATTTCCTGTAGTACAGAAACATAATGCACTAATAAAGTATCATCTCTGATGTGATGGTCGTCAGGATACTTAATTCAGTCCTCGTAAGCCTCCTGGTGCTAGTGCGCCGGGAAAACACTGGTAACGGTGACTACTATGAGCATGAGATATTAAATAATTACCACTCCTCAATTTAACGACAAATCGTCCAGCTAACTGTACTCTTAACCATAACGCTTAGTGTTTTGGGTATATTCGAACCCTACTGACTTCTTCGAACAGCCTTTTAATTCATCCAGCATAGGTATATTTATGTGTTGCACTTTAGGCCCTGAAACTATGTACATTTGGCCCCAAGATTTAATTTGTAAATGTGTACTCGCTAGGAACGGAAACTATCAGGCAGTCATACCCCTAACCTCATACTTTTGCCTAAACATTAGTAACTGCTGGCATAGAAGATGTTCAGGTCAACTGTTGAAAATATTTATGCACACTCACCGTTTATGGTCGCATCTGGTTGAAGACCGCATCATGTAATTCAAATTTTTCTAATGTTGTTATTTTAATGCTTTCTTAGGACTCCACTAGAAAATTCATTATTCTATACATCTGGACTCCAAAGAGCGTGTTCATAGCACACAACGACTGGATGCTTACGACAGGCGTTTGTGCCCACCGGAATTTAGTCGGCTATCTGAACATCGAAATCGGCATTAAACCCGAGGTAGACTGGAGTCTTAAGTCCTGCAAGAAGACTGTTGACTGTAGTAACTTGCAAAAATCCATTGTATTACCAGTAACAGTTTCCTTTTCACAGACGAAGGGGATTCTACCAGGTATCATGGCAATGAAAGGAGCAGTTAAACTACAAGTGGTAGAAGATGAAGATACATCACATTCTGTTAGTGTGAAATGTGAATGGTATGTTTTCCTTTAACACTACTGTTAACAGCACACATCACCAACCGAGAATGATTCTGAATACGTTTATGACCCAACGAAAATGCAGGCAATAGAGCCAAGAAATGTATGCGGTCACACAATGTATCCTACTACCAAGTTCATGGACAGAAGTTTGTCACCCACAGACAGGTAGAGCACTCATTCTATGTAGACAGTCTCTAGGCACTTCCACGAAGCCTTTGCCACTAGTGAAGTCATTACCACTACCACTATGCAACCCCAAGAACTCCTAGGTTTCATCGGTGTTAAAATTAATATCTTCTAGGACATGATGTAGTGAAGACATCAGCCGGATGTTCATGAGACCGTTATGCAGCTATTTTAACCATATTCGAAAAGTAAAATAAAGTAGTAAAGATTTTAGCGAACGTGTGTATTAACCTCAAAATAATGACTCAGTTGTTGAAGGTAAATTCCAAGGAGGTTTTTGAGGACAACAATTCGGAGTTCCTTTTAACGACTGAAAATGAATTGTAGGTTCCTAAATCGTCTTGGAAGAACACGGAGTTTAATGGTTCGTTGTTATTTCAAGGCTCATTCCACTCAGACTACCAAAGTTTCTTGTCGATTATGTCGTAGACGTCCATGTCGGACACGGCTTATTATCATCACTCAGGATGACAACTCTCCTTATGTTCGAGTAGAATGCCTTGATAAGTGCAATATACTTTCTCCGCGGTACCTTTACGAACAGACATTGACACAGTATCTCAGTCAACAAAGTGAAATTCCGTCTTCAAATCAAGACGCATAACAGGTATTCAACGCCGGTTAGTATGCCTATATTCACGAACCTGCCTCAGGGTTAAGATATGATCAATCCACCCTCTTCCTGATTTAAAGTCTACCTGATTCTAAAAAATTTATTTCTCCCGAGCAACTCTCAGTTCACGCGTGATTAGTGAACCTAGAAGTTAAGATAATCCCCGTATGATCATCACAGGAAGATTTAACTCCCTTCTTTTAAATGAGTATCATTAATGATTCACATAAGTCTAACGAACGGTTATCTCTGGTTCTCAGACCCATTAGTTAACAGCGACAACGCTTCGCCAACACCGTCCTTAAACACTTCTGGAGCCATCCCACCAGCATTAATGGCTCCGCATAGTTTTAGATTAGAGAAAAATTTTCCAGCCTTAGTGACATCTGGAGGACCGATGTCAGCACCCTACTCAGTTAGATATTGCAGGCTGAGGGAATTGAGCCAGTTCAATTGTTTGTTATTATATGGCTGGAGGCAATCAGCACGAAACCTTCGACCTCGGTTTCGTGCTTGTTGGCATTCACCAATCAGCAAGACGTATCTGCAATCTACAAGAAACTCATGTCCTCACTGCAGCACTGAGTGACACGGGTTTAAATCTCAGACGAATAAATGATAACTATTCACTTGTGACAAGCCCACGGTTTAAAAGTCCAAAAGTATTTGAACTTAAATGGATTAACTACAACAAATGAAAACCTATACTTATCATGACTGAAATACAAAGAAATATGAAACACAAAAATTCAAAACGAATTAAAGTGGGGGAGGGGATGAAAAATGAAAACCCTTAGATGGAAAAGGATACTTGTCATAAGTGAAATGTAAATTTTTTCCATTACTGAGCTCAGTTTACGAGGTTATGTACTTAAACCTTGGGAATCCAAACGAAACAAGGTGGGGGTGATTGTGTTGATTCATAGACGAAAACATATACTTCCCATAAGGAAAATGTTAACAGTTGTGATAACAGTTCACCCGTCATCCCTTTTCATATTAAAAGTACGGATGTTTGCATAGAGGTATATAAGCAGTACGCCGTACATACAGAGATCATTCTTACAGGATTTATAAATCATGCAGGTGAGTTAGATTTTCGGTGTATATTTGTCCAATTCTCTTATAAGGAAAACAACTCCAATAATGTGTTAAATACGGGTATTCAACATTCTACAACAAGTCGTAAGAGAAGAATATCTTCTGGCAGACTGCATGAATGCCTTGGATACAGCTACTCAACATTTTATAGCCGTCAAAAACGGTTACGTGATGCAGCATTTAGTGACTGGGACTTGTGGAAACGTTACTGCTCATCTAGAGAAGAGGTGGCAAGGGATAATACAGTAACTTTGCCTTCAAGTTCAGCTGTCCAGGGAACAGTGGGCTTACCTAGTAGTAGTGAGACCGTCGCTGTTGTTTCACAAATTGAAGAGAATCGTAACATTTATTAATATGTAACAATTAATTTCTATAGAACTTCAGGTTGTTCCTAAAAAGATGACACAAGGAGAGCTGGTCAGAAAGTCAATTATGGAATTGTTCCTTCAGAACAATGTAACAGGGACGCTTGCGCAAAATGTCTTGGACTGTATTCGTAAATTTAATCCACATGTGCCAACAACCATAAGAGGCTTGCTAAAAGATAGTGGCATGTGTGTACCTAGATTTCTTGGACAAGGTGTTTACTATCACATTGGACTGAAGGAAAACCTGCAGCGTTATCTAGATAGTTGGGTTGACTACGGTACTTTTCAACATATTGGCTTGCAAATCAACTATGACGGTTTATCTATATCAAACAGTTCTTCGCAGCAATTATGGCCATTCCTAGGTCGTATCACAACTCCATACGTCAGTGACGTTTTTTTAATTGGCATACATGGCGGTTTGAGAAAACCGAGCAACTTCAATGAGGTTGCTATGAACCTATTAGCTGAATTGAAAGATCTTTATAAATACGGTTTATATGTTGAGAAGTGGGGTAGGAGTGTGACTCGATAATTACTTGAAAATAATTATTTATTTAAAGATACAAATATGGAACTCATTAACCTATGCACGAAAATATTGAACATTGTGACTACTGATAGAAAATCTCGACAGCAAACCTACCCTCCAGCAAATGGGGACTTAACACTGCAGTTTCCGATCGAGAATGAAGACCAGTTAGAGATGCTGGAAGCATCTTTGAGAGACGACAAGTACAAACAGCAATATGTGAGTTGACGTATTTAATTCTTATTTTTTGTAGACTGCTAAGATGGCTAGCTGCCTTCAGAGTGATCCAAAGTTATCACTTAAGGTCATGATGCACCATGTTATAAAACCTGAATTGGGTTTGCAGTTTACATTCCAGGGGACTTTGACAAAGTCAAGCATTGTGCCTTATGCCTTTTATAAAATAATGAGAAGTAAGTTTCATTAATGAAGTAATTAGTTCTCTAGCTTTAATTATGTCGCACTTCTCCGGCCAACTAATGACGACAAGAGAGATTGATGAAATGATGGATAGGGCCACGAAATCGTATTTTCATAATTTGAAAGATCGTGTCCAAAGGCGTAAGCGGAAGCAAGGAATTCAGGTAATATTGCGAAACGCCTGCTTACTTCTATAAGTGAGCGTTTGTTCAACATGTAGTAATCACAATATTGTTTTCTTTTTTAGGTAAATGAAAAAGATACCGGGGGATCTAACAGTGGCACTTATGAAAGTAAACTTCTATAAATGTAAATGCTCAGCATGTGCTGAGCACAATTTTTCACCCACTAATATTTTATTCTGCTTATTTTCAGGATGCTGCCAGTGGATCGCGCTTGGCGGGATTGCAGTGACGTTGTACTACAGTTTATAAATACAAATGTCTCAATTATAAAAACTGATTTCTTCTGCAAACTAAATGAATTTCGCCGGCGTAGGACACAGGTGATGATAATAAGTAGAAGTCTTTTCGTTCTGAATTAGTACTAGTCTATGCTGAAAATGATCTACGAAGGCTTGAATCAGGCTGAAAAAATTGCCACTATGTGCTGAATTTAGTCTTTTCGTTCTAAATTAGTGCTAGTCGATGCTGAAAATGATCTGCGAAGGCTTGAATTAGGCTGAAAAAATTGCCACTATGTGCTGAATTAAGTCTTTTCGTTCTGAATTAGTGCTAGTCGATGCTGAAAATGTTCTGAAAGGGCTGAAATAAAGCTGATAAGCAAACCCAGTAGGTTCTGATCTACTCCTAACAATGCTTAAAAGAAGAACACGGTTCTGAATTAGCGCTAGTTATGCTGAAAACTAGCACTGAGTTCTAGTCTGTGCCACTAAACAAACGATTTCAGAACAAATTCAGAATTTACTTACTATAGGATGCTAGAATTATTTCAGAATTACTGAGAATTAATTCAGAATTATGATCGATTTTTGATCAATTGATCAAAAATCGATCATTAATCACAGATATAAGTTAGAAAATAGCCAAGTACTGAGTAGTACACACCTTCCATGACAAACAACCGGATATCGCATCTAGTCTACAGTTCGCCCGAAAATAATGTATGATATTACACATATATTTAAATATATTAAATACTTATAATTATAAGTATTTAATAATAAATATATGTATAAATACAACAATTGAAGTTGTTAAACAATTCAAAATGTAGAAAGTATTGGGATTATATTATAAACAGTGTTTTTAGCTAAGTATCTACCATTAGTGTAGCAACAGCAACAAAAACTCAACATCATATAAGAATAAGTCACGTTAATATAAGACGTAGAATAATAATGCCTCCAAAAATGTTCAATCACAGTCGGGTTTCAATATCCAATGTCTTCTCCGCCAATGTCCATTATCGTTTTTACGAGATGGTATAAACCAATTTGATTTCTTTGTGCTCGCCGCTTGGTTATGAGATAAAGGTTCCTGATCTTCGGCAAACTTTTGCGTAGCTCGTCTCTCCACTCGACTGTCGTAGCTTTGGTTGACTGCAAAAGGAGTTGTACTGGAATTAATTATATGTGGAGTTGATCCTTTCACCAGTTGGCCCTTCGGTATCGTCATCAAAGGAAAAGAAGAATTATTCAGACTAACAGACAGAAAAATTCGCACATAATATAAAAGTTAGCATGACAGGACTAATTAGTCAGGGTATCAACACTACAATACTTTCTACACAGAACATGTATAAATTTATAAATCACTGCATGAGGACTCCATTTGCTTTCCTCTGTGCTGCTGTCGTTTGTCTTCTTTTTCTCTCACGATTTTAGCTCACATATGACTTTTTGGGTGAGAATAGACAATGCAGATATTTGATCACTGACAATGACAAACGATCTGCAAACATTACTGGGCCCATATCTTACAACTGCCTCGTGAATTACCCACCACTTTTATTACCTTAATTTACAAACTTCACGATTGTAGTCTATAACATAACTGATCATACCTGTGAAAGTGTCTTGCATTTCTTGTAAACACCTGTTTACAAGGACATATAAACTATCGTCAGTTTGCACCGAATACAATTTACTTCTGGTGTTACTAACGACAAAAAGGCTGACAAGATTATGCAAATACATCACTTATTTTAAATGAATACCTAATCTAGATACAAATAATAATAATAGTATATTCTCATTTTGTACATGAGAGACGCCAGTTTACAGGCAACATCAATATGATAAATTACATATACGATTAGCAATCATACTTAATAATAAATCAAGAACAAGATTCGGTGTCTTGCACGCCAAATCATATGGGAAAGTGACTTCAAGCTTTATTTTTCCCAAGTATTCGTAGTCCACCCAAAACATACTTGTTTTTTTTGTTAATGCGAAGACATTATTTCTACATTTCTTGATGCGCTTCACCGAATGGGGTGAGTATATACGTTGTCTCGTGTTATATTTTCCGCGACTAATTTTTTTTCGTCTTTCATTGGCTAGAATGGTGGCGGTCAATTGGAGTTTGAATTGTCCTTGGGTGCGTGCTGTCGGGTGCTGTATTTGCGTGGTTGTGTTTGCGTCGTTTGCCAGCATATGTGATTACTGTAAACGTGTATGAAACTATTGTAACGCTTTGTTTTTCTTTGTTTGTGCATGTACTAGGCATTATTTGTCGTACAATTCGTTGTTTGGTCTATTGGTTGCTTGCGATGTCAACGAACCGGTGGGTTCTTGTGTTTTTCTGTAATTTAGGTTATACGTGCGGCATTTTCTTGATGGTTATCGATCATCCCTGTATTTCAATGTTGTTTTTTTACGATTTATGTTGGAATAGTTGTGACATAGATGGATCCTAATTGATAACTTTATTTTAGTCCGTTGCAGGTAGTCAATTCGAGTGACAGGAGCACAGATTTAAGTGGAATTTTTGCTGAATACATACTTGGAAAGCGTTTCTTCAGCTGGGATGAATTTGAGAAGTCATTAGCAGAATTTCAAAAAGTGAGGAAGTCATATAATGCTAACAGTGTAGTTATCCTACACTCACTATGTTCATAATTGCAGCAAAACGATGCCGGATGCCAGGTTTAAGTACGCTTATGTTGGTTTTAAATGCACTTTTGGAGTGAATCGTACAAGACGTGGATTGAAATTGAAAAACAAGTCGTAAGAAGAAGTGTAATATGATTTCATGAATATTGCAGGTCTAAATGTTGCAATTGCTCGTCTTCATTTCGCGTGGTTTTGCATCATAGTGAATACATAATTGCTTCCCACAATATGGTGCATAACCATCCATGCAGCAGGGTGTACATGCAGAATGACCCATGGTATAGACGACTAACAGTTGAAGAGAAAGAAAATATTGAACCACTTCTTCAGCAATCCCACTCATCCGATGAAATAATAATGCATGTTAAGGAGAAGTACAACAAGGATATAACTCGCATTGACGTTAAAAATATGAAAGCCGCAGTGAATAAAGGTAACGTTGACGTACTTGTTACATACTTAAGGTATTTCGAGTCGTCGTGACATTTTTGAATTCCTAAAATCCCGTGGGAAGTTAATGGAGTATTATTCCGATGAACCGATCAGGAATTCACTAACAAGAATTTGTTTTGCAACTTATGAGCAAATGGAATTGTATAAACAGTTCCCTGAAGTTGTTGGTATCGATTCGACGTATAATACAAATAAAGGGAAGTAAGTTTACCAATTCATTAATCAACGTGCAGGTATTCTTTGTTCCAGCTACTTGTGACGGATAATTTTGGTCGTGGACGACCAGTTTTATTTGCGTGGACTAGAAAAGAATTCAAACGAGATGTAGTTTGGATATTAGACTGTTTCCGGCAAATAATGGAAGACACCTCGAAAACAGAATCCTTCATTATGGATTGTGCGCAAGCTGAAATAGCAGCCGTCAAGTTAACGCACAGACAAGCGCACATTGTTTTGTGTTCTTTTCATGTTTGCCGAGCTTTCTGTCGGAAAGTAAGTTTTTCAAAGCATACTTTACATTTTATTCGTAGACAAGAAATCCCATTGTGAAGAACTACTTATGCCGTCTAGTGCAGTGTAAAAGGAGATCAGAGTAATGCCTCTATTGTTCTCATTTTGCAGATTTAATTTCTACTTCAGAGTTATTAGCAGATTGGACGCTAATGTCA